ACAATCTGTCACAGACCAGTTGAGTGTAGGCATTAGATGGTTCTTGCCATCACAAAGGGCTATAATTTCTGCGTACTGAACTGGACAAACACGGGCAAACTTTGTCGTCATCACTTGACGGTTTAAACTTCTGCCTAGGCCTAGCGCAAGTGCCCGCACTGGCACATATTGCCACGCGCGTCTCCGAGCAAGCGCGCCCGTGGCCGAATGGTTATCGTGCTGGGCTCCGACAGAAAGTTCCGAGGTTCAATTCCTGACTGCGCATGCACCTTGAACTTTTTCCAAAAACAAAAATACAAAGAGGTAGCGTCGCAGCCATCGAAGGTCGGCGGAGTAGCACGATCAAGCGCGAGAGCGAGACTTCCTCCGTATCACCGGGCAAAGCCCCTCATGTACACGCGTGGGCCTCTGGAACAATCGGGGTAGAAGGTTCGGCGCGTAGAACAACCGGACTTTGAACAAGCAACAGAGGTCTTGAATTTACCGAACGCAACATTTAGAGAAACAGAGAAAGGTGCATCTGCGGCCAAGCATCGTACCTTGGCCCTTTGCATGGAAGAAAAGCACAATAACCAATCAGCCATGGGCGCTTGCTCGGAGACGTGCGTGGCCATATGAGCAGCCTCTGCCATTAACTTATGTAACATCTGCCGAGTGGTGGCCACCACCACGGCGCCCTTGAAAGTGCCTAAAAGCCGCGTCTCATACAATGACATGACATCACCTGCAAACCATGTATGCGTGCTACTGAAACTGTGTCATGTCAGCTGTGCACCAGCTATCAGGTACAGCTGCAGCGGAAAAAGATTAGCACAAGCGACCCACAACCGGAGTGGCAAAATCGTGACACGCTGCGCTATTGTTCGTAGCGTGCCGATAGCAAGAGTGCGAGTCACGTTCCATGTCTCAACGCGGGGGTGGCCGCCATACAGCAGCCCATCCTAAAGCCCGCATTTCGAAAGCTATCTTATCCCTCAATTTTCTGCCCGCCACCCCCGCGCTAAGACATGGAACGTGACTGGCACTCTCGCTATCGGCATGCTCGGGAACAATAGCGCCGCGTGTCGCGATTTTGCCGCTCCGGCAACCTCAAGCGTGTTTCACATGCAGCGATTTTGGCCCTAGAGCGGCGCGATTTCTGCCGTCGCGGAGCTCGTGCCGCTCAACCGCTGGTGCTGGCCAGAGCGCCGCGACGGCAGAAATCGCGCCGCTCTAGGGCCAAAACCGCTGCATGTGAAACACGCTTTAGATAGCGAGGGCCTGAACTGCCCCCTAGCTGCACTGTTTAGGACCTCTTGCCCACTAAGCAGGAACAGCTGGTTGCATTGCACATGCTGCTGGGCACCCAACAGTTCAGCATGAATGTTCTAGTTGTAGAGAAGTGAAATCTAGGTCCAAAATTGGCTGTCAAGCATTGTTTAGAACACCGTCGAAATAACCTGCGTCACATGGCACTAATAAGTTATTTTAGGCTGTGCTTGTTCATCCTTGCTTTATTCAGTTACATCTAAAGCAGCTCGTGCTCACAGCCTTTGTTGCATGCTCAATGCAATGCGGAAGAGCTGGACTTCCACAGCACCAAAAGCATTGATGGCAACAACAGTTACCTTGTCAATGGAAGTCAGTTATGACAGACAGCTGTAGCATAAAGGAAGCTGAATGCAGCACTATTGTGATTTCGCTCCTTTTCAATTTCTGAACTTGTGTTGTGTTTCAAAGTGACTGATTGCCACCAACTTCTCCCTTTACATTTTTTTTTCATGTGATTGACAGAGCAGGCTTGTCTACTGCAAAGTAATTAGATCAAGCTAGATGCACATTGCTCAGGGCTGCTTGTCTCATAGGTTGCGTGTTGTACTCCAAAACCCACACCATGAGTGTGCTGATCCGAGCATTTCCTTGGTTAGGAAGGTGCTCGCATATACGAAATGTCTTTCAGGAGTCTCACATTCTTGCTATTTCGAGCACTGCAAGAGAGTTCTAAAAGAAGTATGCCATTCACTACTGCTCACCACTCGACTGGGATACTCTTGTTCTATGCAATTTCTTTAATGTGCTCATTAAAAATGCATGTTTTTATGAGCGTTCACCCTTTTCGTGTACTTTGTCTGCAGGCTCTGGAGGCACATACTAGCAATCATCTGCACTGACCACACTCGTTCTGCACCTCATGGGGTGTAGAATTTCCATCCACAATAAAACATCCTCCCTAGCACCATTTTGCGTCTGTCATGATTTCAGTATGGCATGAAAAAAAATTTGCAGAGCTCCCATGGTCATACCCGACAAACTTTTATACATAGAATACAATTTTTGGTCAGGAAATCTCGGTGCAATTGTTTATGTGCCGAGACTCACATCTTGACTTCTAATGTCAAAGTATATTTCATATACAAGGAAACAGACATTTCCCAATTTAATGGTGATACGGCGCTGCAAGTCCAGTCGTCTAGATATTAGATACCACAGTTAATTCTTCACCTTTTCTTCCTCTATACTTAAAACAATACACCGGTAGAGCCAGAATGCGTACGCAGTCGATGAGAAACAAGATGCCACCCGTGAGGAGGCCCTCTTTTATTGTCTCAGCTGTAATGCCCGTCTTGTCCTCCGCTGTCGAAGTTTACACCGTCCTCGGGGTCGGACTTTTGGGGCTCAAGGGGGAGACCCCAAGGTAGAGCTATAAAAACCGGCATTGTGCAGAAAGTCAAATGATGTTGCTGTGGCCAGTACCTTTGCAACCAGCGGAACCTGTTTTTGAGCATCCTATTCACTGCTTTACAACAGAATCTTAAGCAAGGCTTTCTGGTAAGCTTGGCCTCGGGACAGCACAACATCCAATGGGGTTGCGAGGAATTGATATGCAAGCATGGCTCCAGGGCTTTGTCACTGTCACCTGCACACAACAGTGAGACGGTGTCTGACATGAATGTTTCATAACCTTTTCAGTTGTTTAAAAGCACATCAAGACTAGATAGACATTGCATGCTAATGCAGCCTCTACTTGGAGCTAGTAGTTGCATAACATCCCACCACTTTTTTTCTACAAATAGTTAAAAAAAGTGGAGGTATTCCACTTGCCTTGCACAATACTCGTAATTATGCCATCAGAGCAAAGAGGTACGGCGTCAATTGAGTTTATAATCTCTTTACATTCCTTTATATACAAAGGTGGGAGATAGGGGCAAAAAGCTGCATGGCTTGCAGCTTGACGAGGCGCGCCCTATCCTGTGTGGAAGAAAAGCAGCAGATCATTTCAGACAACAAAAGCAAAAAAAAAAAAAAAAACGAAAAACAAGATACTACACCAGTCTGAACCTGCAAGGGGGATCGTGGGCCGAGTGGGCTAGCGCACACCAGCTCGGAGCACGTGGAGCAACAGCTCGCGCTGCAGAACCCAGAGATTCTGGGTTCAATCCCCACCCCTGCCCGTTTCGATTTGCACCACTGCGTGATGCATGTTAAAGACTCAAGGCTAGCGGTTGTACCGCACTGGCTAAATTGCTCATCTACAGCTGGGAGTCTCGTCGCCCACCGATGCAGACCAAGTTCTAGGCTGTATAAACATACATACAACCAGAATATTATTATTTGAACCTGCAATCTTAAAGTGAAAACGGACACAACGTGCTGCAGCTGAACAATTTCCAGATGTTAAGGCCCGAGATATTTGGATGATACATATACAACCACGAGTAAGCTTGAATGCGTGCGACGATCTCGCACGACGCTCATTACGTTGAATGAGGCGCCCATTTTCTACCGAAAGCTCTCGCGAAAGCGCATTGAGAAAATGCTCAATTCAGACTGTATTAGAACAGAGCGTATTGAACACTTACCGAACACACCGCTGAATTTGCATCGCTAGACTTCTTGGTTGTCGTCTTTCCGTCTTCCCTTTGCGCGCGAAGCCTAGCCCGGGTGATCGATTATCACCTTTGTAACATGCAAAGAACGCGACTCGCAGCACACCGACGCCCGGTGATGTCTTCGTCGCAGCAAAATGTGCCGCCAGCCACGCAGAAGCCGAGAGCACTTGCTGCTCGGCTGTCAGCACATGGGCCCCTTTCGACGCCGCCAAAGCTGCCACGGCAACTGTCAGCACCAACGAGTGTTGGGCAGTGTTCCCCGATTACGTCCCTGACGAACCATGAACCGAACTTACAAAAAACGTTGCGATGTTCCGTGTAAGCTCGATTTGGCTCGCCCCGTCTGCGAGCGTGAACGTCGCCATCTTCATTGACTTTGGCAACTTTGGCTAGCTGCCTGACTACAAAAAAGTTATCTCCATCGCCAAACTCAATCGTGACGAAATTCTGACGTCACCGCGATCTTTATTATTTCACCAGAATATCTCGAACTCCATCGAAATCCGTAGCGAGAAACTCGATCGCAACGTCACATCACGTGACAAAGAAAGCAGCCAATCAGCGACCGATTGAGTTAACTTTATCGTTGAGTTTGCAATCTAGCATAGACAGACAGAACGTGATAAGCTTATCACGTTCTGGAAAGCCAATCCAGACGTTGAAGAGAAGAACGAGGAAGTGAAATACACAAGAGTTGGAAGTTCAGCGCGTGTGCTTGTCTTTCTGGGTATCTGGTGTGTGATCGTTCCTCTGCGCTGTCAAAGTTGAATATGGTTCACCGACTCGCCCAAGCGCCCATTTTATCAAGCACTGGAGTCACTAAACATGTGGGAAACAAAATCACTGTGTTGGTGTTGTCTCTCGTCCAGCAGTGCCCAACGTTAGGATTAGAAAAAAACTGATTTAATCAAAAAGCGTTACAAATCGTTCGGTATCGTTCATGCTCGTGCGTCCCTCTCCTCTTCGTCTTCCTTTCTTTTCTTTTTCTTACTCGCACTGCTGACAAGACCCCTACAAAGTTTGAATTATCCTCAATTCAAGTCTGTACGCCGCTTCAATTTGTGAAATAGTCTTGGAGGTATGCTGGAGGCCTTCGTTGCCTTGGCATACGTACTGATGTTGCATTCTAGCTTACTGCGTCCAATTCATCTCCGTTGTGCGCTGAACCAGCTGGTTCTTCAACACCATCGGGAGATCCCTCTGGAAAGTTGAGCGTGTTTTACAGCGATTCTTTTCCACTTGGTTTGCTAGCGCCTGTCCTATTGTAGTGTCTGATAGCTTGACTGGCTCGATATCTTTTGCGACACACCTTCGTAGCTTTTGTAAATTAACTAATCTTGAGTTAGATCTGTCCTCTATGGGGACGGCTCTTTTCAGCAACACAGTATTTCTGTCGTTGAATTGTGCGATTTTGTACGGCCCTTCAAATAAAGAGTCCAGGGTTCCACACCGAGATCCTTTGCTGCAGTATACGAAGTCGCCGACGTTAAAAGAAGGTGCCTTCACGTCGGCTTCGTACCAGACTTTCGCCAGCGTTTGGCTATTATCCAAACTGAGCTTTGCAACGCTTCGGCTCCTGACAAGGTTGAGCAATTTTTCGGTTTCGGTGAAGTCATCATCAACGCTTCCAACATTTAGTTCGCCTGTAAGTTCGGGATCATTCCCGTGAATTAGCCATAAAGGGTTGTATAGCGTTGAGCTCTGTCTTGTGACATTGGCAGCGGTTACTGCATCTGGCAATACGATATGCCAGCTGGGACGATTGTCCACAAGTTTTCGCAGGACCTCCGTGATTGTTCCTACCATTCTTTCGATAAGACCGTTTGCTTCCGGCCAATATGGTGGAGATCTGGTGTGTGTCACACCGAGAGGTCGATGAATTATTTCCTTGTTTCGGTTCACAAATCCTCTTGCTTGGTCTGTGATGATCATTTCCGGTACCCCCAATCTGGGGATCCATCTTTTCGTCAGGAACTTGATGTAGTAAATGGAAACCGTGTTGGGGACAGCTGATCCGTTGACGTAGCGTGTAGCGTGGTCAAGGCACACCAAAACGTGGGTATTGCCTTCTTCCTCGACCATTGGCAAAAATGATCAAGCGAGATCACATTGTTTGGTTCGTCAGGGACGTCTCTTGGGTTCAGGCATCCTTCCTCTGTAGTTGTGCGTCGATTTGTTTGCCTACATATGTTGCACCATCGAACATACCGTGCGACGTTTTTAGTCACGGACGGCCACCAGTTACGCTTCGAACTTTGATCTGCCGTTTTTCTTGTGTCCATATGTTCGACCTTATCATGGCACAAAGACTTTACGATGTCGCGCTGTGCAAGAGCTACCACAATTCACGTGCTTTGTCGTTCATTGCGGTTCCGTTTCAGTACTAGGTTCCCGCTGTCAGTTTTAAAGAGACTGTTCTCCTTGTTTCGTAGTAATTTAAGACGTTGGCATTCGGGATCAGACGCCTGGAAACTCCTGAGGCGGGAGTCCTGACTTAGCACAATCGCCAAGCACTTGAGTGGGCATCCAGCCACCTCGTTGTTGATGAGGCTTCCCAGGACTCTTTCCGGCATGTCAAGTTGTGACATCGCGTCTGCTGCTCCGTTGAGTTTTCCATATCGGTGTACAAAATCGAATTCATATTCCGCTAAGTCGAGTGTCCACCTGGCGAATCTGCGGTTGATTGTACTCTGTTTCACTAAGTACGTAAAGCTCATGTTGTCTGTGACAACTCTGAATCAAGGTCCTCCACGAATAAAAATGGCGAACTTTCGGTGACGGCCCACTGAAGAGCAATATATTCGAGATTGTTTGAATGGAGCTTCGAGTCGTGCTCATTGAAGCTGCGGCTTGCATACTCGATTACTCGTTCTCCCCCTTCTTGAGCTTCAGCGAGTACGACTCCCAAAGCAGTTTGACTGACGTCGACGTGAATTATTTTTGGACATCCGTACATGACGTTTGCGATTATTGGAAGATATGTAAAAGTTCTCTGCACGTCATTGACAATCTTGTCGTGAATTTCAGTCCAGCTGAAATCAGCGTCACGAGCCAGCAAGGCACGTAGAGGGGACGTGAGGGCAGAAATGGCAGAAAAGCAGAGAAGTAGTAGATCGTTGACTTCCCTGTTGAGAAACTGGAGATCAGCAGGAGAGTATCTATACGGGTAAGATGTGACGTGTAGTTTGGCTCTGAGATCAATCGAATGTTCAAAATGGGGGCATAACCCTATTCTGTTCTCGCTATCTACAAAGGCTGAGTGATGTGTCAGTAGAATGTGACGAAGCTGGTTCCGTTGATCAACTAATGCATCTTGAGTCATTTCTTTGACGGCCACTTCAATGTGTTCGAGAAGTTCGGTGTCTGGGGAACTCGCTCGCGTTTCCAGTTTGACAAATCTATCGCCGTGCTTCGTTCCACATAATGGAACTGTGCCAATAAAAAAGGTTGCGTTGATAGAACGATGCAATGAGTGTTTCACCCGTTAGCTCACTTGATATGCTTTGGCTACAACGTTCAAGCGTGCTTTCCTTGAGGCTGTTAAACTACCGCAACGTCGTGGCTGGGTGAAAGGTAACATCTACGTTGGCAAGGCGTCTACAATCTGATCCAAGAAGGATGTCGACAGGGGCAGGTATAGTTCCGTGATGAACACCTCGGGTAGCCAAACGTGAATAGTGCCTACCGTGATCGTCAAAGCTGTGACTTTCTCTGGTCTTACTCGTGTTCCAAGAACGTTTATCTCAGATCTGTTGGAATAAACTGCGACGTTTGAGTTGAGTGGAATGAATTCAGAGTGAATGATTGAGACGTTTGCGCCCGTATCGATGCAAACCTTCACAGTTGTGTCTGAGCCAATTGTGCCATGAACAATGGGTAGGTCGTCTCCGCTTGTACATAGGAAACAACGAACATTTATGACATCGTGGTACGGCTTCGGCGTTCGTTATCGTCTTGTTCTAGACGTCTTGGAGATGACGTCGTCGGACTGTGTGCGCTGCGTCTCAATTTCTTCCGCCGAATAGTGGCGGGTGTTTTCAGAACACGACATTCCCTTGAGATATGTCCCGGCTTGCCACAGTTGTAGCATTTAATTGTGTTATGTTGTGCATTATCTTCGAAGCTTCGGCACAGCTCTTCACGTTCCTCGTTTGCGTAGTTGCCCCTTTTTAGTGGCCATCGGCTATCCATGTACATTGCTCTGTCGATAAGTTTGAGCACCCACCTGCAACTGTTGGACGCCAGGGAATTCACCCATCTGTCGTCGGCAGTCGGCAGTGCCACGCAAGATCAGTGAGATTTTCTCCTCGGGCGCTGATTCATATGGCAACTCTTGTGGCATAGCATCTTTGGCGTAAATGTATAGCACAAGCGTTTCAATAGGCAGGAGCTTTCGTTGGGCCTGGTATTCGATGAAGTCTTACATGCTCATCTTCCTCTTAAATATGTTCAAGGAGAGCTTGCTTCCACGTTTCCCAGTCATGAATCGATTTACCATATTCTGTCTGCCAGTCCTTGGCAGGTCCTCTGAGTCGAGTCAACGCATTCAGCATGGTGAGCGATGACGTCCAATGTGCAAAAGAGGCGACGCAATCGATCGCTTCAAGCCACAGAGAAACGTTGGTCTCGATATCTCCGTTGTAAAGTAAGAGGTATGGCGGACGACGTTTCAATCGTAGAGTGCACTTCGAAGGGACGTGAGTTTGTCGATACCCACTCCTCGATCCACTGTTGAGTCCCTGCGATGATGGCGGGAGGCTCGTTGATGGTATAGGATCGCAGGCTCTCGGCAGGTCGCTTCGTAAGCCATGGGAACGTTAGCTGTTGCGTCCTCAAGATATGCGACTGTGTCCGGTGTTAGCGGCACTGAACCCGTGGTCGGGCGTTGTTCTTGACTTTGACGCATCTGCTCTTTGATCGTCGACATATCAGTTTGAAGCTTTTCGTAGGCAATTTGGAGCTGTTCATAGCGCTCTGCGAGATCGTTTGTAGAGTCGGCCATGTCTGGGGTTACTTTGGCAGGCGTTCAATAAAATGCATGCTTGGGACGTGTGCCTCTACTAACACGTACCTGTGATTCTTCTCGGTGTCGACTCTGCCATGTTAGGATTATAAGAAAAACTGATTTAATCAGAAAGCGTTACAAATCGTTCGGTATGGTCCGTGCTGGTGCGTCTTTCCTCTTCGTCCCCCTTTCTTTTCTTCTTCTCACTCGCACTGCTAACACCAAAAAAGGAAGTTAATGGATCGACCCGGCCGTAGCCACGCAAAGAGCGCACTACACTTCTAGAAAAAAGGGTATCAATAGTCCTCACTAAGGGGAGGAACGGTCTTGTAACCTATGTTCCTTTAGAAAGGAAGAAACTTTCGTACCTAAAGCAGGGGTGCAAATAGCTCCTCCGTCGCCTGCATCTTAATATGGCGGACCTGAATCGAGCAAATCGAGCTCAATAGGGCTTAACGAGGACGCTACGTCTCTTCTAAGGGACGCGAGGAGCAGCAAATAAAAGTGTAACACGAGCTTTCCGCGAACTGTGTTTATTTCCGAAGCCAGATTCCCTCCGCAGGTACAGAAACTTGCGTTTCGAAAGCAGTTACTCAGTCCTCTCGTCGTCAGCACTACGGTGTTAAACAGTGACAACCGATACCCAGTTACTTCGCGAACTTTACGTCTTACCTTTGCTGTTCCTCGAGTCACAATTCCATCGTAAACCGCACATCACGGAGGAATGGCAAACCAATCCGCGAAACCAAAAGCCGCTCTCAAAAGAACAAATTCGAAGCCGCTGTTTGTCGCGTAGCGTGAAAGAAAGTTAAATCGCTTGCCACCAAATGGCAGGGTCAAGCAGAGTAACTGCACGTAGCTAGGCTAGGTGGCGCTAGGTGCCGCACAATTCGAGTACTACAAAAAATATTTTTATTTTCTCCCGCCACCATTTCCGAAAATCCCTTCGTGATTTTCGGGAACCTCTAGTATACAGGCATGTAGAAACATTACGCATACTATGGATACTACAAGCATCAGGTGAACATACATTGAGCGCATACACATACGTACATGGCACATAGAAACATGAATACAACGGCACACTAACCCGAACACTACAACCAATTGATTGATTGAAACGTTTATTGTGTGAACCATTAGCGACTCCAGCGCGCCGCTCGCCCTCCCGTGGACGAACGGAGAACCAGAGGAGCGGGGACGGCGGCGGCGGCGCGGAAACGGTGGCAGGGACTGTCGGCCTTCATGTGTGAAGCCGTTTTAACGAAAAACGTGAACGCGTTAAAAAAGGAATTATTGTGCTCCGCCTTGCAACAGCCTTGCACGAAGGACCGGGATGTCTAATTTTATTAGGGACTTTTCGTGTATCGCATACGCTTCGGATTTTTGGTCTTGTGCATGGCCGCCAGCTCAATCTGTACTCAACGTGACGAAAAACGCTCCCACTAATAATGAAGAACTCTATAGTACGGTCTACGGAAAGTCTATTTTTTGCCATAAGTAGGAGAAAACTCGTCGCGCAACGGTATGTCGAGCAATACAAAGCGGGAATGGGTTCGCATTTTAAGGCCGTTACAAGGAACATGACCATTTATTCCAAGCACTTAAAAAAGACAGAATACCCGTACTTGCTTTCAGGCGATTACAAAGCAAATAAATAGAGGCCAGAAGCATTTTAAGCGGTTCTGTGTTAGGCAGCCGTTTGTGACGAGAGCTTAGAACGCGCAGTTTTGGCCAGAGGGACCGCAATGTTGCAAATAACGCGGTGCAAAAAATACGGTATATTAACATATTTATTTTTGATAAATCGATAAATAAAACCTCTAAACACGCCGGTTATGTTAATAGGCAGTTTTTGCAGAGCGTACGACACCCCTAAACTTCGTTTGGACGTACAGCGCACTGACGTTCAACCAGTGCTACCAACTTTCACGAGCGACTTGTTAGCCGAGTTGTGCAACTTTTTAAAATAACCCAAGTAAGTGTGAATGACTGTAAAAAAAATAATAATAATCGGGATTTTCTTGGCCCTATTGCAAAACCTCGCGTTTTTTTTTTTCGGTACTTTTTGATGCGT